CTTCCTACCTTTGGGAGCTCTGAGGGGATTCCCTGGGGTCCAGTGGGGCTGCCCGGCGGCCAGTCCTGCGGACGGGCTGGCTGGCGGGTGCGCGAGGGAGCACTCTCCCATGAGTGCTTCCTGTTCAGCTCCATCGCAGAGGGAAGATGACGTCATATTCCGGCTCCAGTATTATAACTATAGTTATAACCAAAATTATTCAACCCCATTGAAAATCAGGTTTATTGCCAAGATGTACAGACTTTCAGCTTTGCAATGAACAAATTAAACAAAAGCAGTTGAAATAGCTCAACACAACAAATACTTCAAGTGGTTTCTCCAAATTCAGCTACAGATACAACTTATTATGACTTCTCCGGTCTCAAAATTATTCAACCCCTGACAGAATCAGAATCCCTCACAACAGCACAAATATGCAAACCAGGTGTGCTTGAGCTGGAACACTTGAAATACCTGAACTGGCTAGGGAGTTTGTTGAGTGTCACGTTTGACTGAAAGCTGAATGTCTGTAAATATTCACAATAAACCTGATTTTCAATGGTTGTTGAATAATTTTGATTCTGACTGCATGTGTGACTGTATTAAAACATTTGACGTCGTTCTTGTAATAATCCCAGTGAATAATAATAATTACAGGTAATACTCCGACATTTCATTGAAAAGCTATTATTTAGTGTTAGATATAGTTTGTTTTTGATCAATATATCAATCTTTCCCTATTAACCTTTCACCCATGGCCCATCTGTTAAATTGCTTGCTGTATCCGATTCCTGCAAACTGTTATGACTGATGGGCGGACTATTATTGTAATTGTTGCAGCAATTCATCATTTCTCCAATGTCAATGGCTTCTTCTCAATGTCTGGCAGTAATAATATATGCAATCATCTATAAGGAGAAAAAACTGTAATTAAACGCAGATAACGTTTGATCTGAATTGTTAACCGAACAAAAATAATATGGCTGATGACATCAAGACGCGGCAGAAAATAGAATTATTTACTTATATATATCCAAATTCCACATGACTTTACACATCAATTAAAGGATTCAATTAAGCACAGTTTTGTTCAGTGACAAGGCAGGAAGTATGAAATGTTATACCCATAACTCCCAAGTGTCCCTATTTAGGAGGAACAGTCACTATTTTGGGCCCAAATCCCTCTGTTTATCTTTTCTATCCCAATGTCCATGTTTTCTAGGAGCTCCATATTGTCGGTGTGTCTGAGTGTATAACAGAGCTCCACAGCAATAACACTCCCAGTAATGTGTCTGAGTGTATAACAGAGCTCCACAGCAATAATACTCCCAGTAATGTGTCTGAGTGTATAACAGAGCTCCACAGCAATAATACTCCCAGTAATGTGTCTGAGTGTATAACAGAGCTCCACAGCAATAATACTCCCAGTAATGTGTCTGAGTGTATAACAGAGCTCCACAGCAATAATACTCCCAGTAATGTGTCTGAGTGTATAACAGAGCTCCACAGCAATAATACTCCCAGTAATGTGTCTGAGTATATAAGAGAGCTCCGCAGCAAAAATACTCCCAGTAATGTGTCTGAGTGTATAACAGAACTCCACAGTAATAATACTCTCAGTAATGTGTCTGAGTGTATAACAGAGCTCAAATGCAATAATACTCCCAGTAATGTGTCTGAGTATATAACAGAGCTCCACAGCAATAATACTCCCAGTAATGTGTCTGAGTGTATAACAGAACTCCACAGCAATAATACTCTCAGTAATGTGTCTGAGTGTATAGCAGAGCTCTTCAGCAATAATACTCCCAGTAATGTGTCTGAGTGTATAACAGAGCTCCACAGCTATAATACTCCCAGTAATGTGTCTGAGTGTATAACAGAACTCCACAGCAATAATACTCTCAGTAATGTGTCTGAGTGTATAGCAGAGCTCTTCAGCAATAATACTCCCAGTAATGTGTCTGAGTGTATAACAGAGCTCAACAGCAATAATACTCCCAGTAATGTGTCTGAGTGTATAACAGAGCTCCTCAGCAATAATACTCCCAGTAATGTGTCTGAGTGTATAACAGAGCTCAAAAGCAATAATACTCCCAGTAATGTGTCTGAGTGTATAACAGAGCTCCACAGCTATAATACTCCCACTAATGTGCCTAAGTGTATAACAGAGCTCCACAGCAATAATACTCCCAGTAATGTGTCTGAGTGTATAACAGAGCTCCACAGCTATAATACTCCCAGTAATGTGTCTGAGTGTATAACAGAGCTCTACAGCAATAATACTCCCAGTAATGTGTCTGAGTGTATAACAGAGGTCCACAGCAATACCAATCCCAGTAATGTGTCTGAGTGTATAACAGAGCTCCACAGCAATAATACTCCCAGTAATGTGTCCGAGTGTATAATAGAGCTCCACAGCAATAATACGGCCAGTAATGTGTCTGAGTGTATAACAGAGCTCCACAGCAATAATACTCCCAATAATGTGTCTGAGTGTATAACAGAGCTCCACAGCAATAATACTCCCAGAAATGTGTCTGAGTGTATAACAGAGCTCCACAGCAATAATACTCACAGTAATGTGCCTGAGTGTATAACAGAGCTCCACAGCAATAATACTCCCAGTAATGTGACTGAGGGTATAACAGAGCTCCACAGCAATAATACTCCCAGTAATGTGTCTGGGTGTATAACAGAGCTCCACAGCAATAATACTCCCAGTAATGTGTCTGAGTGTATCACAGAGCTCCACAGCAATAATACTCCCAGTAATGTGTCTGAGGGTATAACAGAGCTCCACAGCAATAATACTCCAGTAATGTGTCTGAGTGTATAACAGAGCTCCACAGCAATAATACTCCCAGTAATGTGTCTTTAAACTAAGATACATTGTTCTTGTTCTAAATTACATTTTAGTTATATAAATTATAAATAAGTCTGGTACAACTTCTCAGAATTTTTGATGGTTGGATTTATTACATAAATGTTCTCTGATGGCAATGTATCTGAAGATACTGGGGATATATGTATAAGGAGTGAAGTTCATTTTTGTGTTTGTGACAGTTTTGTGTGCATGAAACATTTTCTTATTAAATTGGCACTCCAGCCTTTATATATGGGTGCCTTTTTTTGCTTTTTTCTATAAAATAACAAAATACTCTGTCTTTCCACCGCCTTTTATTCCATTTTCCTATTCTTCCTTTTTTTCCTGATGATTTTATTATTGATTACATTCCCAAAATAGGATAAATGAGTAACACTACAAAAAGAATCGTTTGCAATTTTAAGAATGTGAATACATTAAACAGAAAAGAATATCGTGAAAGCTGTTTCTTTGTCACAGAAAACCCACCAATCAGAACAATGGCAGAATATTATTGCACTTTTTGTTTGAAAGCAACACATTTCTGATGAAAAAAACAAAAAAATAAAATTATGAAAAACTCACAGAAGGGAATACGTTGGCAAAGTAAGGGAATTAATTGTTGCAAATAGGAAAACTTTAAAAACCTGCATATAAAACGGTCACTGAGCTTATTTTGTTACTTGGAACTGGGACAAACTTACCAAAGGTCAAGAAAAAGGCCTTGTATTAAATATTGCTACATACTGACTGAAGAAAATTAAAAAGGGTAGAATACGATTCAGGGAACCAGATTTTAAGGGACATGGTAACTTTGAAACTATTACTGATCGGGGAAGCCTGTAAAGTTAATGATAAATATATCAGAGTCTTCTTAAAATTGAAACCTATCTCTAGATCCATCGACGTACAGGTACATCACATATAACTGATGGCAAGTCTTCATCAAAACAACACTACGGCAGGCAGAAGGTATAACAAAAATTAGGCAGATATTTGTAGAATTTTATGTGCGTACATGTGAGCATGTCTGTTGCTGTTAATGATATGTTATTATTATTATTATTTATAAAGCTCCAACAAGTTCCTTAGCGCTGTACATGTATTATATGTTAATGCTAGACCGCCAAAAAATGCAAAGAACGTTATAATTTCCTAAAAAATAAAATAAATGTAAAAAAAAATATTTGGTAACATGCACGTTTTCTCCTAAAAATATTTTGTTTTAATTTTAGCCACCAATTCTTTCCATCTCACCAGAGGATGCCGTGATATTAGTGAAATCATATTTATTAGTCGTGTCCTGCTTGCAGGGTTAAAGCTGGCAGTTTGTTTTATATGTTTTTAATTTACTTTTTTTACTGTTTAAAATAATAAAGCAATTTGTCGCGCAATACTGTGTGTTCTATTAAATCCATTACAGTGGGCCCCATGGTGCTCTTGCATAAAGGTAATTGCTTGTAAATTGCACATCCCTGGCTTCTCAAATGAGGTGCAGGAGAATAAAAGTATCGCTTAACCCTTCAGGTGCCGTGAATGGTTACAGTTACTTACCCAAAGAGTCTGGTGTAAATTCTGGTGTGGTCTGTTACATGTTTGTTTACAACGTGTTCACTACAGATGTAGCCCTCAATTTCATATTTTTGCATAGCCTTTTCAAATGATTTCATATTTTTTGCTAAACTTTTAAAATGTATTTAGCAGTATAAAGGAGCGCTGTCAAACGTTGTGATGGTGGCGATTACTACACTTAATTACTACGGGATGTGGGAAGAAAAATACTGAAAAGTAAATAGCAGAAGTGGCCGGAAGAAGCAAAAGATAAATATTAAAAATGTAACTATGCCAAACGTAACCTCGCCACGGGCTTCTGCGTCAAGACTATGAGCAATGTGAAAAAGCTCATAAAAGACTGGGTTCGTGCGATTTCTCCATGCTATTTAGGAACCGAACTATGGACCACCGAGGAGCTTGTTAAGCCCTCATAACGATCATAACCGCAGTGTTCTTTTTTTTTTAAATTCTTTATTTTTGTTGTGCAAAAGTTTGACAGACAGGCTTGCCATGCCACAACAGTAAATACAGACATTTCAAGAGGCGTTAAACTGTGGCATGTAGTAGTGCTGCACATTTTTAAAGATAAACATAGTGATGCATATAGTGTTGCTTAACAAGAAAACAGTAGAATTGTTTGAGATATACTATATGGATTGACAATAACGTAGTCGAGTATAATATATCAAGATAAGGGAACACGCTAAACTGTAGTTAATTTGTCAGCAGGGTAGCCGCTGGGTACTATGGTTGGTGTTACATGAGACAAGAGTCCACTGGGTGGTAAGATAAGAGACAGGTATGTTGATGTCGCCAGAGTGAATACAAATTAAAGCAAATAAGAGGAAATAATGCAAACCGACTGAGGGCTTTGAATTGCATGTAGGGGGACTGTCAGCCTATGCCTGTTTCGGGTATCATTAGTAAATACTTGCTGTGTCCATGATAAACTTGTGGTTGCTGTCCCTCCATGAGGCTCCATATGGCCCATTTGTGTTCAGGCTTGGTTCTGGTTGTTTTCTTAGCCCATGATCTACTGGAGCCACAAAACCGCCAGTCGGAGTTATCACTTCGCTCACGGGAGTGAAGGGGAGCCTGTCTCCCGCCCCGAAGGGTCTTTGTTTTCCGCTTGATTTGGGCCCGGGTCCCTGTGCGGTTCGTTAGCTGGGCATACTTCCAGCCACTCTGGGGCCATGAGGGACGTGCTTTTCCGTGTGCGCCCGTTCCAAAGTCGGGTCTGTGGCCCTCTAATTCGGCCGCTTTCTCCTGTTTAGCAGGTAAGGCGTGCAGGAGAGGTCTGTGTTCTGGGCGCTGCCAGAACTCCTCGCAGATCTGGTCGAACCGCGCCTCGAAGCGTTCTCTCCACGCTTGGATTGTCAGGCCCTCTTTAGGCTGTGGTAGTTGTGGCTCGGCGGCCATTTTAACCTCGTTTCGCGCTCTTAATTCTGGCAGAAGATTTGTCTGTTGCGGGTGAGCAACCTTGCCCAGCGGGGACCGGGATGACCCCCACCGGTCCAGAGGGGGGGGGGTTGCGGGGTCTCATGCTCGTCGCTGCTCGATGCGGTCCCCGTGCTGGGAAATCGGCTGCCTCTCCCGGCCACGAGGCCGCCTTCCATGCTAGGCCTCAAATGCGGAGTGTGGTAAATCTCTACAGAGAGACTTGGTTCAAGTTTCCACGGGCTCCCACTCAATTCCTCTGTTAGCCACATTTGTGTGGAGCTGCAGGAGTCACGTTTAGGCCCTTAAAAGCCTTGATTAAGCTCGGTTTTGCCAGAGCACTCGGTAGGCACGTCTGGCCTGTTCGGCTATCAGGCCCCGCCCCCCTAACCGCAGTGTTCTAATGGTTCATCTGGGTGGCCACCGTTCGTATGAACGACCACGAGGTAACAGCCATCTTGTTCCTGCGAACGCAGGCAGCGATGTTTGGTTATCAAGCTCATGTAACTAAAATTGGACGCTGAAACTCCCGAACACCGTTTGACTTCCATAATCGCCTGATTTCAGTTCTATACAACCTGGAGGGGCTATCCGAGAATGTAACTTTTGTGGGGTTTCTATGGATTTTGGGGGTTCTTTTGGGATGTTTGTAAATTGTGTGTTTTTTGTACCCGATAGATAATTTCATTATATGTTTGCTTCTCACATATTTATCTCTCAGGCACAAAGGATCATGGGAGGGATTTCCCTGTATTCCTGTGCTGAAAAACCTCTTGCATGGGCTATTGGATAAAAGGCCGTGTGTGGCCCTGAATAAAACAGATGACTCCAAGCATGTGTGGGGGGAACAGCTATATTGCTATATCACTTGCTCTTTTACTGAATATACAGCAATACTCTCTTGGAGGAGAGGTCTTCCCACTGGGAGCTGGACCAAGGTGTTTGGTCCAGGGTGGGAAGGGACGGCCAGACCCCAGCCAAACTGCGGCGGCTAAGGGGGCTACAGTGATTATGCTGTCCGGTGCGATGCTTATGGTACTCGTGAGCACTAGGAAACGTGATTGGCGGAGCTACCCAGTTGGGGTGCCATGCGGTCTGCCACAGTAACATTTAAAGGAACACGAAAGCCTTTGGAATACAAACCTGCATTCTAACGCTTTAGTGTCCCTATAGCATTTTCCATAAAAATTAAGAAAATTTAAGTTACGTTTTTGTAGCGACAAGGCTTCCTCAGCACAGCTTACTTCTCCTCCATGACATCATAGAGGAAGCATGGCCCCTGTGGCGGTATACCCTCCTGAAGATGGGTTACTACCGCCTAGGTCGCCCCTCCCAGTTGTGGTCAGCTCCAGAGTGCTTATAGCTTCTTGCACAGGTTACCACGGTATCACCAAAACATTAGTCAAGACTAAGTGAAGGGTGAAGAAGACTACCATCACATATCTCCCCCTTCAAATGGAGCCTAACCTGGGAGTAGACTCTGAGGCTTGGCTGCTCTCCCAGAAAAGGCATCCACAGAGCCACTTGGTCCAGAGAGCACTGCTTGCGGATTGGGAGGCTCTCTCTCTACTGAACCTGAACTCCCTCCAGGACCTCGTACCAGAGTTCTTTCCGGATTGCATCCCTCAATTCGAGGTCACTCTCCTCTGAGACAGGACTATAATCCTGGGACAGAGCTTCTTGCAGCCCCCTCTGGAAGAACTCCTCCTCGTATGGGGACGCTGCACGGGTGCTAGCTCGCTCCATCTCCACAAATTCCAGGAGGCATGAAGGCATCCCACTTCTGCCACCAGATGTGGCGGTATACCCTCCTGAAAATGGGTTACTACCGCCTAGGTCACCCCTTCCAGTTGTGAAGCGCTGAGGTTTTTCCCCGTTTCCAGCTATTAAGCGATCCTTGGCGAAGGTACCCAGCAGGGGTACAGGAACTTCCGCTTAAGTCCTCATAGTGGAGCATCGAGGACCTGATGCGCATGCGCAGTGAGGACCGTGCATGCATTCGGAAAATAATTAAATCAATGTTTTCCTATGGTGGCTTTCAGTTTACGGCGGTTTACTAGCTCAGTGCCACAGAAGTGCCTCCAGTGGCCGTCAGTATGATAGCCACTAGAGGTGTGTTGACCTTGCAATGTAAACATTGAAATGTTATATTGCAGGGTTAAATGGGTTATATTTGAAATGAAGTGGTCTGAGTGAATTTAGTTGTCCTTTGTAAAGAAAGGTTGATTATAAGTTAATTATAAGTTCATTAAAAAACATTTTTTAAAGAACAGTTTGTTCCTAATTTTGGTCTGTATATGATCACACTGTTTATGTAGATTTCCCCCGAGATTTACTGAATTTCCTTTTTTTAAGACACCAGAAGGGGTCTGAATTCTATATCCCTAATGATCTCTGACAAGATAATGTTGGGCTGGTGCTTTGTAATTACCGTAGCAATATGTGTATCTACGCGCTCATGAGAATCAGTTAATAAGTAATTAGCAGAAAATAGGAATGTTCGTCCAAACAATTTCTGGCAATGTCACACGTGGAGTGGGCTGCAATTCTGCTCTTAGTCGCAATTCATTAGAAATGATTTTGTTAATTGACTAATTAAGGGTATATTATCCCTCCTACCATATAGTTAAGGAGAGGTTAGGAGGGAAATGCTAATGTTTCCTCCAGCCAGTTTTGGGCAATTTAATAGAAGCTGCTTCAACAATTTGGATGCAGATCTTCTCTCTCTGATCAATAATTGTAATTTGAGCAGTGGTAGTCAGGTATGACGCTTGCATCTTTTTAGGTCAAGTGTTATCACATTTTCACTTCTCGTCTTTTTGTAGTTTAAAAACGTATTACATTTAACAAAACTTAGTGCTTTATTTTATGTATATAATTATGTGTATTGATGTCACTTTTTTGTTCTCTGACTGGACAGTCATGTGGGGTTAGACTCTATTGACTGGCGAGGTAGCTCAGTTGGTAAATTCCCTAACTACAGAGCCGGTTCAAATCCTGGCAGGGTTAATTCATCCTTCATCCTTCCGAGGTCAATAAAATGAGTACCATTAATTGGGTAAAAATAACATCTATTATTCAGCTGCCGATTTGGTTTATTACAACTAAACCAAGTCCCACTGGCAGAAAGGTGCTATATAAATACTAGATATTATTACTGTTATCCAATCAACTGCTGCTCAACATAACTTGCTGTCTGCTGCAGGTTCACACAGAGCAAATTGCCATAGGGTGCAAGCTGGGCAATAAAGAACATCATTAAAAAAATATATAATAATAAGATTAATTTATTGTAATAAACTTTTTTTTTAAATGTAGTATAATGCCACTAGTTTGGTAACAAGAGACAGGAAGGCTGGTGTATGTGATCACATGATGTCAGCTTTATCAAACCTTACCCAAAACCCCTCCTGCTCGCTGAAGTTAAAACACAAAAAACAAAATACAAATTAAAAAAAATACAAATTAAAGTCTCATTGTTCTCCCTCTTAAAATGATGTTGGATAAGTCTAGTGATGGTGATAAAATAAGATAAATTGATGGTGAGAATCCTATGATTACTTTTTTAATGATGCTATACATCAGAAAATGCATTTTGTAGCAGAAGAATAAACAAGTTTTCAAATGTGTTCAATAAACCTATTTGTAAAAGTTGTGTAAAAGAGAGTTTTAAACTTGAAGTGGTTCCAAGACTGAACAGATACTGCTCTGATACAGCAATCCCAACCAAACAACGCGCGGATACAATGAATCACTGGACCAACTACCAGAGGGCTTTAAACCGCTACCTCCCTCATTTCGCCTATTGATCGGTAAATTCATTCAAAAAATAAGGCTGTAGAGACCAATCATTTCAGCCTAAATAGCTGCATTTTGTGCATGTTCAATTTGCTCCTCTTTCAATTCCCCTACTCTCAAAAAATACCTCCTTTTTGCATGTTAATGAGGGTCCATACAATACCCTTTCTGTCCTTCTCTTCTAACCTTCATTGTCCAGTAACACAGGTGTAGGTGCAAACCTGCCAACCGTCCCACTTTCAGCGAGACAGTCCTGATTTAGTTCCCTGCTGTCCCTCATCTGAGGACACCAGTGAACTGCCCCGCCCAGCACAGCTGAGTTCACAATCTGCAGCAGGCAGTAGGACCATGCAGGGAGCGGTTAAGTAGCGTTCTCTGTATGGTTCCATAGACTGTGAGTCGGTCAAAGAGCTTGGCAGCTCACTTACACCTTACGGGCGTCGCTAATTACTTGGTTGCGTTATTGATGGTGCCCCTCATGGCTCTGCCCAACCTGTCCCAATTATGCCACCGCAAATAGTGGGAGGCATGAACATGTCAACAAGAAGCCTAGAAATGGTTTCTGGGAGTTCTTATTCACGTTTCATAGAAATCTAATAACTAAACTCACAGAAACCCTGCACTATGCAAAATCTGTGTATCTAGAGTCATCCAGCCTCTCCCCCTTCACTTTAATCCCGCACTGCAGAG